TCTTATCAGCTGAGGCAGGCATTAGATACCTAACCTGAAGCTCAGTAATAGCCACATCCACTCCCAAATCGGAAAACCGTTTAATGTTTTCCTGAAGGGTTGCGGGAACCTCACCCTCCTTGAAGTGTGCCTGCATACCGACCCCATGTATGGGCACACCCTTAGCTTTCCAGCCCTTCACCAACTCGTATAATGCGTCCGACTTTTTATCCTTGGCTTCGATGCTGTAGTCATTGATGTATAGCTTGGCGTTAGGGTCGGCCGCGTGTGCCGTACGGAAAGCCTCCTCAATGAAACCGGAGCCTAGAGTTCGCGAAAATATGCTGTCCCTCAGCTTATTGCCCGACCCGTCCTCATTGAGCACCTCATTGACGACATCCCACGCGTAGATCTTACCTATGATTTTGCATCAAATGTTTGCATTTTATTAGACTTTATTTGTATTTATAAATAATAATACTTAAAAAGCAATTAAAACTACAAATTAACTTAATTAAATTAATTAAACTAGTAAATACCTTTGAAATGTGCGGCCACTGTATTAATATGGTCCTTGACCACTTTCTCGAGCTCAGCCTTTTTGCCATCAAGTGCACTCACGTACGAAGGTAACTCAGTGTGCCATAGGAAGGTGTGTCCCCTAATCTTCATGTCATGTGTCTGTGCAAACTCCACCATTTTGTCGGCCGTTTTCCAGTTATACTGTCCTTTACTGGTCTCCAGTAATCCCCACTTCATCTCATTCTCAGGTGTCATGCAATTGAACTCCTGGCCTAATATATCCAGGTATTGTTGATCTCCCAGGGCATGGGAGGTCATGGCTGACCCGATGTATTTCTGTTTGGCTTGATCTCGGAGGTGCCCCTCGATTGAACTGCCGGTGCCCATCATATTCATGAAAAATTAGATTTAATCACATATTTATCAAATAGTTTGTAACATAGTAAATATACAGAAATACCATGCTTACATAATTAAAACCGTAACAAAAACTATGAACTTTGATAGCATTTTCAAAATGTTATTTAATTACTTTTATTTATTTATTAAATGTTATATTACAGTATTATCATAGACTACACTGTAAGAGACTGTAATTTATATACTTGGTATTTTGATGTCGATTTGACGTAAATTGTAAAAATATGTATTTATATACAGATTTTCTGTAAATCGGCAAATTAATTGTTATAATGATAAATTAATACCATTTATTTAATATTACAGATTTTCTGTATATATTGTTTTATAATAAATGTGACAAATAGAATTGCAAAATAATGTACATGTATAAATATTATTAATGAAATACATTCAGATCTTAATATACAATTTAATAACAATATTATTATTTAAACAAAACTAATTTTTACAAATTAAAAATCACATTCATTTCAAAACTTTACGGACGGCTTCTACGGCGGGTTTGGGCTTAAAATCCTTTGTCCACAACTGCTGTTCCCCATAACCCGTGTCGAAGAAAAACGAGTATTTATCCGTAAACCCCCAAACGGTAACCCCAACACACCTGTCCACTTTCTCACAGGCGCTAAAAGCATGACTATAATCCTGGGCCTGATTTGCAATCTTATCATCTGATCCCGGCATCAGATACCTAACTTGAAGCTCAGTGATGGCCACATCCAGTTCCAAATCGGAAAACCGTTTGAGATTCTCTTGTAAGGTCTTGGGAACGTTACCCTCTTTGAAGTGAGCCTGAATACCCACCCCATGTATGGGCACACCCTTAGCCTTCCAGCCCTTCACCAACTCGTATAAGGCATCAGATTTCCTGTTCTTGCCTTCGATGCCGTAGTCATTGATGTATAGCTTGGCCTTAGGGTCGGCCGCATGTGCCGTACGGAAAGCCTCTTCAATAAAACCCGTGCCCAAGGTTTTGGAGAATAGACTGTCCCTCAGCTTATTGCCCGACCCGTCCTCATTGAGCACCTCATTGACCACATCCCACGCGTAGATCTTACCTATGATTTGAATAAAAAGTTTAAAAAAATAATTAAAAAAATTATGGGTTATTCATACTAATTTACATAAAATTTATGAATATTAAAGTCAATATAATGTATATTAATCAACA